AAAAAGGAAAGCACAGTCCGCATTAACAGTAGATGTTGATTATTTGGGAAATGAAAACAAAATAGTATTGTCTCCAGAGTAAAAGGGGCAAGAAGTCAAATGTCAACAAAACTGTGTGGATTATTTGCAGAAACTAAAAGTAGAGTGAATTCTGCAATCACCTTGTAATCAGACATATACTACCACACAGTTTCATGTTTTCCTTCTGCATACTCTCTCCCTCCTGCACTACAGTCAGTTAAGGTTCTCTGAGTTTAAACATTAAAACATTGTTTTAATATCTGGTAGAAAGATGAGGTTTTCTACTCTCATAAAGCTTTACAACCTCTGAAACTTACAGGGGCAATTTTATTCTGTCCTGTAGGGCCGCTAAGAGTCAGAATCAACTCGATGGCAGGAGTTTGTTTTCTGTGTTTGTTTTAATATCTATACTTCTTTTGCTGTAATATCGTGCAAAAATAAGGTATTGACTATGCTTTTGACTTTTGCTTTTCTTTTTTGGGCTGTTGAGTCTATCCTGACTTTGAAAATTCCCAAAACCAGAAGAATATCAAGAAAAGTCATCTAGAACTTGACCCAAGTGCCATTCGATGAAGACAGACATTGGCTATGGAGGCTGGGGGATCAGAAGATGAGAGATGTCTATGTACGAGGATTCGGACATGAGTAGGCATTTGAACCCTCCCAGCATACACGGGTTCCGCTGACATCACTCCTTGTTCTGTCCATGTCTCTCAATAGTACTCTTTGCCTTCATGGATAAGCTAAGCTGGAGATGATAGTGGTCCCTTAAAAATGCTGTGTCAAATGAACGCACATGTGGTAGTCTACAGAAATGTACTTGCTCACCGTTATGGAGGCCAGGAATTTGAATGACAGTTCTCAGCTGGGCCACGCTTCCTCTGAAGGCTCTAGGAGAGAACGCTTCCTGGAGTCTTCCTTGAGGATTCTCCTGGAGAATCCTTCCGAGGATTTTAGGATTCCTTAATTTGTGGCAGCACAAGTCCAATCCCTGCCTTTTTCTGCATATGCCCTCCTTCCCCATAGGGAAGCCCCACATGCTCTCTGGGTCTCAAAGCTCTCCCTCTGTTCTCTTCTCAGAGCACCAGCCCTTGGGTTTAGGGCTGACTCCAAACCTGAGAGAATCTCCTCTCAAGATCCTTAGTTTCATTGCATCT